ATTGCTGCCCTCACTGCCCTGCCTCTTGCTAAAAACTGCTGCTGTCACCCTCCCGGCGTCACCCTCCCGGCGCGGAGCAGCGCGGTGTTCGGTGAGACGAGTGTCCTGGGGCACCTTGTGGGTGCCCTGCTCATGCTCAGCAACACAGAGGTGTGTTCTGTGGGGTCAAGGGTGGTGGGTTTGGGGTGCTTTGGGGTGCAATCTACACCCCTAAACCTTCCCCTGAACTGGGGTCTGCAGCAATAGTTCCAGGGACTCAGTTCCCTGCTCCTCTGGGGTGCTGAGGCAAAGGGAGAGGTGCACAGTGTGGGTGATGCTGGCACCCCATGGGCACCCCCTGCCCTTGCTGGGTCACTGGGTGTGCTCCTGTGCACCCAGATGGGACTCCTGTCCGCAGCAGAGGGTGCAACAATGGCTGCAGTGACCTCTGGTCTGTGCACTGGTGCTATCAGTGCTGCTCCCTGGGCAGGCACGGAGCCAGGTGACCAGGCTGCCCTGGCCGCGATAGCCTGCTTGATCTTTGCCCAGCTCCTCTCTGGCCTAGCAGCAAACTTACCCACTAATACAAATCAGTGGACTTGGCACAGGGAAAGGCTTGGGATCATAAGCAGCAAACATGCGTGAGAAGCTGGAAGGGAGGGGGCAACTCCTCCTGTCTGGTGAGCCATTCGATGAGTCCCATCACGCCTATACCTGCAGGCTTTGCAGATTTGCCCATCACCGTAGCACGCAGCTTTCCCCCTGAGCGAGGTCGGACAGAGACTGACATGACATGAGTGGACTGTATCTGCAGGCAGATTTGACATGTCCCTGCTGCTGTCCCTCACTGTAGAGCTTCCAAGGACAGCACACAGCACCTCTTCTCCACCAAAAACGCACAATTCCTAGCAAGGACACAAAGCTTGGCTGAACCTTCTCTCAATTCTTCTTTTTGGCTTTCCAGAGTGGAAATGGCTCCAATGCCAAGGTGCCCCTGCAGCATTGCCACAGCAGTGAAGAGAGTTCATAAAATCTTAAACTGAATCAGTATAACCAAATCAAATGCTATAAAACTAGCCCATGATATTTCCATCCTGCAGCTGCAGGATGGAGGTATAAAGATACAATTTATCTGAGAAAGGTGATCATGGTGAGGCTATTACAGCTCTTTAACTTTTGCTGAAGTTTCCCAATACCCTGGGGGATTACATGGCAATAGGCGTTTTACTGAACATGTGCACGTGGCTGCAGAATTGCTCAATCCACTCACTTCTGCGCGTACTCAGGGATGAGCCAGTCTTGAAATTTTCCAAATCTAACCTCCTCCATTCTCTCCTGTCCTCCCCTCCAAAACAGAGTCAAGACTTTTTAGTTTGCTTTCAGACCATAAGCTGCTTTATTGCAATAAGTGGAAGGGAAACCAGAGAGTCATTTAGTGCTTCTCAGGGCAAAAGCTCAGCCTGGATTTTTGAGGTGCTGTCTGGCATCAAGATTTGCTAGAAATAGCCATGCCATGTCCACTGTAAGCCCCAGCCAGCCAGCCAAATAGTGAAGGAGAGACCCTATGTGGAAAACAGGAGTTTGTATTGCCTAACGTTTGCATAAGGTGCCTTAGCCTTGAAAAGCCTGTTGTTATCTAACAAGGCTGAAGATTGCATCACTGTCTAAGCACTTCTTAGTAATGTTAGATGTGTGAAATCCAGGCATTTAACACCATCTACTTTTTTCTGCCTCATTCTTCTCGTGCTGGATTTTGTCCTTTAATCCTCTCAAAATGCTTATCTTCTCTGATTTGAGTAATCTGAGTATCATCTTTAAAAGGTGGCCATGGAAACAAGACAAATTTAACCCTCTGGTACCCTTAGTAATAGCTCTCATTTGCTAGGGAGAAATTACTGAAGGGTTAGAAACAGAAAAACAAGCTTCTGTCCAAGTTTTTATCCAGGGAAGCTTGTCACAGCACCAAGCCTGCCAGAGTACAAGATGCATTTAGAAAACGCTCTCAGGCACATGGTGTGATTTTTCAGGCTGTCCTGTGCAGGGCCAGGAGACAGACTCAATCCTTGTGGGTCCATTCCAACTCAGGATATTCTATGAGTCAATGATCTACTCTAGCTCATGGCCTTTCAATAGCTGCCGTGAAAGCTTTAAGCTTTTTATAGGACTTTACAAAATAAGCAAAATTAGCCTGAAAAAAAATTATCCTGGATACAAAAGTCTATGGAGAGATTGTAGTGAAATTCCTGGCTGTAAAGTCAAATTACTGTTGAAACATGGTGGCATAATAGCCCTGAATTCTGAGGGTTTGGAAAAAAGCCAGGTTGAATATTATAGACAATATTTATAAACCGTGGAGATGCACCTTTAGATTCCTATACTTGCCTACATCTCCAGAATCAAGGGCCACACAGCCAGCACAGGTAGCACAGCAACTTTTGAAAAGCTCTGCAAACAAACCGCAAGATTTTCTCTTTGCTCCTGTTGACAGTTTATAAACAGATCTATTACATAACAAAAATTTTGTTTTGCCAGCTGGGACCTTAAAGGGAGTTAAAAAGCCTTTTTAGCAGTTAGACATCCTATTTCTGAGCTATAGAATGCAAAGTTCTCCTGAGAATCTGGCTCTGTAATAACGTTATTATATACCCTAGCATGGGAAAGACCATCTCAACTATTAAATTCCAGGAGCATAACAAAGCAATGAATAAACACAGAATACATGCCTTGTTGTCATCACCCTGTATTTTATTACTTCCTCCTTTTGAAAAGTCCAGTTCAGAGGGTAACTTGTTTAAGCTCCTGCTGCCTGATAACCAATCCCACTGGAGCAGCCCCGGCACAGGGGAGGGAAATAGCAAGGGACAGAAGCAAACTGGTGCAGCAAATTGCACCTTGCAACTCAGCATGATGTTTATGTACCTTGGAAGACTCCACTAGGTAAGAGTTTTTTGCTGCATGGCATTCGTTCCCCAAATTGTGTTGGATTGAGTGTATCATTATATGTGTGGGTTTTACTTGTCATTTTGGCTCCTGGTAGTTAAGAGCTCCTTTCAGGGCATAGGACTTACACTCAAGGGGCAACTTTCCAAGTGAGAGTCATCCTCAAAGATGTAGGTTTTGCTCTGATGTCCACCTTTAGGGACCAGGAAAGCCCCAGACCCATGTTTAGACATCTGAACTGAACCCACAACATGACCAGGTTGGTGGTGACGTCTCAGGCAGTAGCAATGAACTCCCTGTGTTAAGAGTTGTCTGGGAGGAGTCAGAAACCACCTGTCATCTATCAGAACAAACTGTGTATTACTATTGGCATTATCATCAGCCAAATGAAGGATTTGCTGCCTTCTCTCAGCATGGGAAATATCAGCACTTTTAACATCTCACTGTGAAAAAGGTTGTCACTTCCAAGCCAGCCACTTAAACATACCCTGTGGCCTCTCCTTCATTGGCCTGCCTTTTGCATTGCTAGTTCATGGAAACAATGCAAGGGATTTGTTTGAGTCTCAGAGCCAGCATACAAGGGACTCGCTCCTTTGACAGCAGTGAGGATTGCTGCCACCCTTCTAACAGGGGAAAGGAGCTCCCTCAAGGGGAAACTAACAGGGTAGAAGGCAGAAAGGGAAAAGTGAATCACCAAATATCTTTTTCTGTCTTTTCAGACCTGAGACCAAACGTGGATAATAAGGACACCATCTGTGCAACAGCAAACTCTTGCCTTTGCTAAGAGTGCTACTAAGGAGTCATCTAATACAACACAGAGGTGCAGCACTCCCAACTGGAAGGGAAAACTTGCAGGCTATCTAGCCCTTAATTCTGCCATGGCCACAAAAAGCACCAACTCAAAGAAATACCTCCAGCTGTTCCTTTTTCAGGTTGCTCTTCTAGGGCCTGTATTCTGTGGGAAGGTGTTGGTCTGGCCAACAGAAGGCAGCCACTGGCTGAACATGAATGTGATTATCCAGGAGCTCATCCGCCGTGGGCACAGCATTACTATCATGGTGTCCAATGCTACCCTCTTCATTACACCCAAGGCTAAGACTGTTGAGGAGTTTGAAATCTATAATGTGCCCTACAAGAAGGACTTCCCTGAGAGTCTGATTAATGGCATAGTGGCACTCTGGCTCAATAACAGGCCAACCATCTTTACCTTCTGGCAGTTTTACAGGGAGCTGGGAAAACTGTCCGTAGGCTGGCAGAAGCTGAACAAGCTCATGTGTGAGGCAGTGCTAGCTAACCAAGAGATGATGGCCCGTCTGCAGGGGTCTGGCTATGACATGGTGCTGTCAGACCCGGTAACCCCCTGTGGGGAACTCCTGGCTCTCAAGCTGGACATTCCCTTTGTCTACTCACTACGTTTCTCCCCAGCCTTCACTCTGGAAAGGCACTGTGGCAAGATCCCAACCCCAGCATCCTACACGCCTGCTACCCTGTCTGAGCTCACTGACCACATGTCCTTTGGTGAGAGGATAAAAAACTTTGTGTCTTACCACCTGCAAGACTACGTTTTCCGGACCTACTGGGGACATTGGGATATCTACTACAGCAAGATCTTAGGTAAGCTTTCTGCTACTTCACTTTTCATTACACAGTCTCCAGCCTTATAACTTGCAGAGCTAGGGACCTGTCAGGGTTGCAAAGTCAAGGGTTGAGAGAAGTCAGCAAGAAGTTTGCCATTATATTCCACATGGAAAAAGAAGTGAGCCATCAGAGTCCATCAGTTGCACCTACTCTCCTGTCAGGGTCCTGTACTGCTATGCTATTGCACTGAGACAGGAATCAGTGGTCATCCCGAGTGATGGATTTGACTTTGTCATAATTAATTTTAATGTGGAGGTTGATACAGCTTCCATATCATATAGGACCCTCAGCAAGGCAGCTTGTCTTACACATTTCCCCCTCCAATGGTCACTTGCACAGAAAGCAGTCAGGAACAGAGCTGCTTTTCTAATCCAGAGTAACCTAACAAGGCCCAGGGAGCTGGTGAATTACAAGACAGCCTTGCCACCCTTAGCAGCAATCCTGAACTGCATTGTGGCTTTGTAACAGAGACTTCATTTATGTCACTGGTCATATAAAAACAATACTCTCTGCACAAAAGAAGTTTTATTTAAGGTGTACCCTCCACCCACAAGCAAACAGTGAAAACAAGGAGTCTTTCTCTGCAGGCTTTTCTTCTGGGCTGTTTTGAGTGAGTATGCAGAAAAATATGTTTGTGATTAATCACATGTGATCAACATGCCATTTCTACTACCCTTGCACTGAGCTCTTGAAAAAGACTACTTGCAAATCTCTCAGGGTTCAATTGCCTGCAAATACCTGAATGCTGCAGGACTTCACAGGTACACCAAGCTGTTGTCATGTGCACAGTAGATGAGGTATCTCAGCTTGGCTCCTCAGAGTCCAACTCTTTTCATCACCCTCATTTTCATCCTGGAAAGAATGCTCTAGGCAGCATGGAAACTGTAGTAAAAGCCTTGCACAACAACATTAGGAAAACATTGTGTAACAGAGCTGGCCGGAAACCCTGTAGTAATGTTTTTTAGCACAGTAAAGAGGACTTACATTATTTCTTAATTGCACATCAGAAGGCTGACCATAACTGAATCTGTTTTGCAGATTTTCTGGTTCAACGTATAGTGAATAATTGGCAATTAGTGGTAGATAAGAAACCCTTATCACCTCCCGGCTCTGGTCTCCCGCAATGCATGCTCTGGAAGAGGCAAGTTCACATGAGGGCAGTCTGATACTTGAGCCATTTGCTGTGTAGTTTCATCCACTTCGAGATTCAACGTTTTTGCTACAACCCTGGGTCACCACCTTAAGTGCACTGCAAAGGGATACTCAGTGGCTTTCTAAAAGCAAAAGGAGCGTCCACACGATGAACATCTTTGCTGTGTACCCAGCTGTGCTTCAAAGAGCCAGAAGAGTGAAAAAGTCACCTTTCCTAACAAAAAAAAATAACACAGAGACTGTAGTTAGGAGGGCTGGATGAGCAACAGGACCCAATCCTCGCAGAACTGAGACCCCCAGGGCTGACGGCTGTCCTTGCTGCTCCAGGGGAAGCACATCTTCCAGTTTCAGCAAGGTATTTACCACCAGAGGGTGCCACCTGGTCCCAGTCACCTTGTTTTCCCCCAGGAAAACATGCTATTATCCAGGACAGGATTTCGTGCCAGCAACCTTGGCTTCCTGCTCTCAGGACCAAGGCAGTGTCACGCATGTGCCCAGCCCAGTTTGGGAGCGCTGCTGCTCCCGGTGAAGGAAGGCAACGGGGCATTGCCACCCAGGGCAGGCTATGGCAGGGAAGGAGGTGGCAGTGCTGTGGCTGCTGGCGGTGTTGGGCTGGGGGTCTGGAGGGAAGGTGTTGGTCTGGCCAGCTGACAACAGCCACTGGCTGAACATGGAGTCTATACTACAGGAACTTGTGGTCCGGGGTCACCAGGTGACCGTGCTGCTGCCTTCGTGCTTTCTCATCATCGACCCCACACAGCCTTCGCCCTTCCAGTTTGAGGTGATTGAGGTGCCGATCACCAAAATGGAGATGGCTGCCTTACTGGAAGAAATGTTCTATTTTTGGTTTTATGAGGAGAGAGTGCTACCTGTCTGGCAAAGTGTTTACAAGATAGTTCAACAGGTGCACAAGCTGGAGAACGTAACGAAAATCATTTGTGATGAAGTCTTGAAGAATGAGGCACTGCTGGAGAGACTGAGGGCATCTGCCTTCGATGTCCTTTTGGCAGACCCACTGTCACCCAGTGGGGAGCTATTTGCTGAGAAGCTGGGTATCCCCTTTGTGTACACCATCCGGTTCTCCATAGGCAACACGCTGGAGCGGCTCTGTGGGACACTCCCAGCACCTCCTTCCTATGTACCATCCGCCCTAAGCAGCCTAACAGATAGGATGTCCTTCCAGGAAAGGCTAAAAAACATCATCACCTACACTATGCAGGATATCGTGTATCATTACGTTCTCTGGGGAAGCTGGGATCAATACTACAGTGATGTTTTAGGTAAGGCTGCTCTCTCTTCCAGAAATTAAATCTGCTGTACACACTAGAGTAAATACTGAGACCTGAGAGGTTAAGGCACAAATCAGGAGCAAGACACTCCCAAATTCACTCTCCTTACTCCAAAATTACTGTGTCAAGTCAAACAATCAAGGCAAGTACAAACATTGCCTGTTAATCCTGACCTGCTACACTAGTACAGCTAAGTACTTCTAGGATAGGTAAAACAGTGCTAAAGCCACTTGAAACAGAGCTCATCCGTCATATTCGGAGGTGAACCACGACAAACACTAAGAACAGCAAAATAATGCTATATATACACCAAACACTAGTACTAGTTTTGTAAAGCTATGCAACAGTACTAGCTTTTAACCCTAGAACCCCTCTTGCTTACTAGCTTGTCTCAAAATGAGACTTAATGGCCTCCTCTGGTCCTTTAAAGGCCTGGGAGATCAGGTGAGCCTCAATTTGCAGTGCTAAAAGGCCCTCATCAGAGACAGGGTTCCTTGCTTTTCTAAAATCATCTAGAAGAAGTATTAGAGGATATTTAAAAGGGGTTTTGTTGCGTTTGTTTTCTTTTTACTAACAGTTGCATAATAATTTTCCTGGTTTTGCTCTAAATGATTATAGTAATGCTTCCAGGGAAACAGGCCAAACATATATGCATTGCTGGTGGGCAGAGAAAGTGGATATTATTTCGATATGAGACTGTAAAGTGTTTTTTATTTATATTTCACTAGTAAGGTGTAATCCTGCTGAGAGAGCTAAGTTATTAAGATATCCTACTATTAGAGTAGCTAGCTGTGTGTGTTGCTTCTGGTGTTTGGCAGAGACTAGAAAATCTTGTGCTGGCAGAAGCATGGTTTGGTGATCTGTTGTGTAAGCGTCAGAGCTGTTTGGATCTTGTGGTGTCTTTTTTATTGTTAAATATGGGTTTAGCATTTAAGGCTCCATGTGCAGTACCTGTTTTGTTAGCTTGCATGGGCTACATGATGGATTTGTGATGAAAACAGTGTTGATAACAACAAGGTTGCTTTAACTACTGCTGATCAGTTCTTGCACAATGTCAAGGCCTTTTCTGCCTCTCACACCACCCCATCAGCACGGAGGCTGGGGGTGCATGAGAAGCTGAGAGGGGACATAGCTGGAACAGCTGACTTCAACTCACCCAAGGGATGTCCCAGACCACAGGTGATGTTGTGCTCAGCAAAATAAAAGATATGGAGGGAGAAGTTTGCCAGGGCTGCTGCTTCTGAGTGACTCACTGGGCATTGGTTGTCTGGTGGTGAGCAACTGGTCTTTCTCCATCACTTGCTTTTGTTGTTTTGTTGGGGGTTGGTTTGTTTGTTTGGTTTTATTTTATTGGTGGTTTTTGGTTGGTTGATTGGTTTTGGTTTTTTTGTGGGTTTTTTTTTGTTCTTCTTGTTTGGTTTGGTGGGTGGCTTTGTTTGCTAAGTTTTCTCTGTCTCAACCCATGAGTTTTCCAACTTTTGCCCTTCCTTTTCTCCTCCTATTGTGGAGGATTGAGAGGCTCTGTGGTGCCTAGCTGTCTCTCAAGATTACACCACAACACAAGGAAAGGGCTTCTGGTCCTCACATGCTGCAAAATGCACTTTGTGGTGAGTAGAAATAGGAGTTGTGGTCATTTTGAGATCAGCTGTGGCTCTGCAGGAGACTCCAGAACGGGATTTGCTGCTTGCCCAGTCCTCCCATGAGTGTCATTTTGTGTTATGACATGCCCTCTTGCCACACTTGACAATCTTGTCACCAAATGGGTGTCACTTTTATTGGTTGGCTCTGAAGTGTTTGCACAGTGAAGCAGTGAACTGTTGCAGTTCAGTCAGAACAGAGCTGTCCATGTATTACTGAGATGATGGGGCCAAAGTTCCTCTGGCTGCTCTGGGCCTGTGCATGCTGCTGGAGCACTGGCTTTTGTGGGAAGGTGGTGGTCTGGCCCACTGATTCAAGTCACTGGATCAATGTGAGAGTGTTGCTGCAAGAGCTCGTTCTCCGGGGTCATGAAGTCACTGTGCTGGTGCCCTCAAGCAACCTGCTCATCAACTACCAAGATACCTCCTCCCCCTTTACCTTTGAGGTCCTGCAAGTCCCGTTTAGCCAGAAGACCCTGGATGCTGCCATGGAAGACTTCCTCAATTTCTGGATTAATGAAATCTCTACTCTCTTCCCCTGGGAGATCATGTGGAGGATAAAAGAGGACCTGGAGGTCTTCACCAATATGTCAAAGCAGACCATTGACACCTTGGTGATGAACCCTCAGCTGATAGCAAAACTGCAACAGGCCAACTTTGATGTTCTGGTTGCTGACCCCCTGGCTGTAGGTGGGGAGCTCGTAGCAGAAATCCTAGAAATCCCTTTTGTCTACAGCTTCCGCTTCTCTGATGGGAATGTGGTAGAGCGGCTGTGTGGTGGACTCCCATCCCCACCTTCTTATGTGCCTGCTAGCACAATGAGGCTGACAGACCAGATGTCCTTTATGGAAAGACTACAGAACTTACTCTTTTACTTCCACATGGATTTGTTTTTCTTGAAGTTTTGGCGAGATGAATGGGATGGGTACTACAGTAATATCTTAGGTAAGGCAGCTGTTGAGTAGTTACTTCTCTTGTATAGGTTGTGTCTTTTGAATGTTTTGGAACCTCAATGCTGTTGTCTCAAAATACTCTTTCACAAAGGCCAGCAGAGGCAGTAATCCTGTTTTGGTCATATGGAGGCTGTGCTTTCCTTTTAGGTCTGGTATAGCCTATCAGATACAAGTGCAGTTTTGCTCTAGTTCCTCTTGAGGACCTGCAGAGCACACAGTTCTGTCAGTGATGATACTGCTGGTGAATTCCTGCAGTGAGCTGTATGTCCATCTCTGTGCTTTCAGAGGACAGTTATTGCCTCCTCATCTGGATGACACCAACTCCTACAATTAAGATGGCAGAAGAAACAGGCTGCAGGGCAAAACCATTCCTTAATTTAGTGTAAGGCACTGGAGACAGCTCCATTGACAACACAGGGATGAGGTTAACCCCACTGTAAGTAGGAACATTGTCTGTCTCTGGACAACAGCAAAGCAAACAAATCACCCTTCATTCATGGGACAAGCATCATCCAGAAGTATCTTGCAACCCTGCATACTGCAGGATGCTGAGCACAAGTTCAGCTTCTCCAACAATAAATGCTAAGAACTGTCACCTTTCCCTTGCATCCACTATTCAGCATTTGAAATAGTAGCCTTAAATTACATACATACTTGAAAATATTTTTCCAACGTGGTACAACTCAGGTGTGAGTTGAAGTCTATTAAAGAGACCTTTTAGTTCAATGGACTTTGAATCTTGTCCAGAATATCTATGTTTAGGCAGATAACAAGCAATCAGCAAGCAGTTACTGTCCAATCTCCTCCTGCGTTTCTCAACAACGCCTCTGTGTTCTGCAAACTAGTCCCTACTCCCTGGACTTTTTTTAATATCACCATAAAGACTTAATTACACACCTTTATATCTCTCTACTTGTAATGCAGACTTCATTTTCACTTCAGCAACTTTGTAACTGACTCATTGCTCTTTAAATTAAAAATAAATTACTGGTGTAGATTATTACACTGATCAAGTAGTGTAAGAAGATGCCCTACAGCTAATTTTTATCTTGTTGTTTATTTTGCTTGATTCCTGTTTGCATTAGGCTGGCTTTGGACAATCGTTTCTCAGTGCTTCTAACCCTTTTACTCCCCAGTTTCGCTTTGTGGAGAAAATACTGCAAATACAACTTGCAAGTTGCAATACCTAAGAATAGATATTTTTCCAAATGGGAAACTGTAAATTATTAGATTACCATTAAATTTTTTCTATAGATGGATTTCCAGATACATTGGACTTTGCATAAAATGACATTCAAAGCATCTAAGGATTTGGCCAATTTTCCACAATATGTGTCAGAAGCAGTTGACCTGGTCCTCAAGAGAACTAGGGATGTCTATATCTCTCTTTTATTGTTGTCTGAGCAGCCACTGACCAAGTCACCATTTGAAAAATGCCACAGAACTTTGCTTAAAAACTTTCCTCCTCCCTGACAGGTGATCATCACTTTGTGATTCATTTATTTTCTGTGATTGTTCTCTTCCCCAAAGTGTGTTTTTATTACAAGCACAGGCAATGAAATCTTTCAGCAGTAGAAGAATTGCACATCTATATTACAGATACTAAATGTTTCTCACTTGTACTGCTCGAAGTTAATCTTGAAGGTTCAAAATCCTTTTAAAGATTGCGTTGCCCTGTTTGTGGCCACCTACCAAGGCTGAACACAGGACTGGGCAAGGAATAGGTCTAGATTTGTGAATGTTTTGAATTTGTGCATGGTTTGATAGACTACACTGACTGGGAGTGCCAAAAGACGAAGGTAAGGGTCCTATTTCACAATCTATAGCAAACAAGGACACTCCCATGCACGTTGTAAACCTCTTGTACCTTGTCCACAGGAAGACCCACAACCCTGTGTGAGACGATGGGGAAAGCAGAGATATGGTTAATCAGAACGTACTGGGATTTCGAATTTCCACGCCCTCTCCTGCCCAACTTTGAGTTTGTTGGAGGACTTCATTGCCAGCCTGCAAAGCCATTGCCAAAGGTATCCCAACTTTGCTCCGCTGTTGGGTGGTTGGTGACACAGCAGAACAAAGACTGTCTCTCCCTGATCAGCCATGCAAGCCATGTCCTGAGAAAGCTCATTCTTAAAGAGGATGCTCTGCTGCCGGTGGGGAGCATGGAGCTATTTAATATCTGTCCATACCTGTCCAAACTGAGGGCTGGGTTTATGGCCTGCTGTCTTAAAATAGAATAGCTGATGCCAGTAGGAGGGAATACAGTGTCTGTTTTAAGAAAAATAGGGGCTGCCTCAGACTGGTTAAGCCTAAGATTTAATTCTAACATACAGACTTGCAGCCCACAGTAGCACTGAAATATCTGATTCAAAAAAGCACTGTGACAGGACAAATTCTTTAGCTAAAATGGAGTCAAGACTTGCAGAAAGAGATGAGTCATAAACACTTTTGCTATTGTACCTTTGTTTAAGACATCTTAAAGGCAATAAAAGACTGAGCATCTCCAGCCTATACTCTGCTGGGAATGGCAATATTCAGGTGGAATTTGAAACTCCCAGATACTGAAGATGGCAACATGACAAGCTCATTCCTGTAGGAGCCTCCAAAGATGTAGGCCATTCTTAGTGCAAACTGTCTACTGAAAGAAACCTTCTCACTCTCTCCATACTCTCCTATTGCAGGGGTTGAGGCTAGGGGAAATGGATAACCATTCTCTTTTGGATGCTGCTGCTCCATTTCACATGACACTAACTCAAACAAAGGAACAGGAACACCTATTGGTCTGATTTGTAGAAAATCTTTTGAACACTGTGGTGTGTTGCAATAAATAGAGAACTGTCTGGCTAGCAAAGTGATGGCAGCAACTCAATGAATCTGTAATCAGGATGCTGAAACCCCCCCATAGTTTGCAGCAGAGCTATGTAATGCAAAGTACTTGTTCGAGGAAAATCCAGACCTATGACTGCTACAGAGGGTGTCATGACAGTGCCAGGATCCATTCCTGCCACTTGTGCTGCTCTGAAAGAAATGTGTCCTGAAACTGCTAGATTTGCCTTCAGAAAGACAAAGTATCTGTCACCTGTCTCATCTTGTTCTGCTCCTTCTTGGGGAGAAACTGTTTTGCACAGGGCCAAGTCTGTCTTTGTAATGTCATTCTGTCAGCAGAGGTGCTCATACACCAGTCATCTCCTTGATAAGCTAAAAAAGTTATGCTCTCTGTTCTCAGACATCTATGTAATCTGAAATACACAGTTACTCCTAGGATGTTTTCTACCTCTCCTAGGAAATGGAAGAATTTGTTCAGAGCTCAGGGGAACATGGCATTGTGGTATTCTCCCTCGGATCCATGGTCTACAACCTAAGTGATGAAAAAAGCAATGTGATTGCCAAAGCCCTCAGCCAGCTTCCACAAAAGGTGAATTTCCTTCCAAGCCTATAACAACTTGTTTTGCTTTTTGTCACTCCTGTTGCCTTTGGTGAGCCTTTTCCAGTTGGACTGGCCTGTTTTATTTATCTGCATCTGTGCTGGGTGTGCTACAGCTGGGAAGCTGGGCTCTCAGAGAGGCAGACTGTTGAGTTACCTCATGGGGAGTTCTGGTGTTTCACCTCTGAACCAAATTATGTGGAGGTGTGGCCATAGGCCAAAATACAAAAAAAACCCCACTCCATATGATTTTTATAATCAGCAGATAATAACTAATCAAAGAGCTGAGCTGGAGCCAAAGCTATTTGAATTACTGAGAAAAGGTATGTGGGTTTGAGATAAAGCCCTACATTACATGCAATAATACACTATATGCACCGTGTTTATCTTATTCTTCCTTTGCTCAAGGTCCTCTGGCGGTACAAAGGGAAAAAACCTGAAACTCTGGGCTCCAACACCAGGATTTATGACTGGATACCCCAAAATGACCTGCTTGGTGAGAACGCTTCTATCTAGGATGGATTGTACCCTTGGAAAAACTGTTTCCTGTTTTTCCACTAAAATGCCTTATCAGGCAACAGAAGCATGTAACACGTGTGGCTATACTTTCACAGCTTAAGCAGCAGAGCTGTGCTCTTGGGAGTATTTATTTCCTAAAAACCTCTGACTTACAGAGCTTGGTGGCAGTTGTCTGCAAGGGCTAATATACCCTGGAGTTGGATTCGGCCCCTGCAGTTAATCTTCAAGGACTCATTCTTCAAAATGCTTACCTTAAGCAAGGCTGAAGCAGTGAGCTGTTCTGAACCTGGTACCATGTGAAAACTAGAACTGTGCAAGAGCAGAAGGGTTGAAGTAACTTTGGGGTAGTCTGGCGGGACATGCTGATTCACACACTGCATTAAAATAAGTATGACTGTGTGAAAGCCAAGCATGCAAGCTCTGCTGCTGATCCAGAGGGCAGGGGTACTCCCTTCTCTGCAGCAGTGTGTTTGCCCCAGTAGTTTGCAGTGCTCACATCCCAGTGAACACAGTCTGCCACAGCTGCTGCTACATGCACCTCTCCTTTCGTGTTCCAGGTCATCCTTTGACAAAGGCCTTTATTACACATGGTGGGACCAATGGGATCTATGAAGCCATCTACCACGGGATCCCCATGGTTGGGATTCCCATGTTTGCCGACCAGCACGACAACATTGCTCACCTGACGGCAAAGGGAGCTGCAGTTCGGGTGGATTTCAGCACACTGACGACACAGGACCTAGTTGATGCCCTGAACACAGTCATTAACAATTCCACGTGAGTTTGTTCTTGCCTTACAGTAGGCTGAGGTTACTAAAATCCTGGACTGCTGATATGAGAAGTTCTGCTTGCTCTTTTGGGAACAGAAAATGCAGAGTAGCTGGAGTTTGGGTTTCAGATGAAAACCATCCTTCGTTTCTGAGAATCAGCATTTCTCAGAGAGAGCAGTAATTTAATTGTCCATACACCATGTTTTATGATCAATTTGAGCTCTTGACACAGTTCTCTGCTAGTGTAAATCCTCTGGAGGCTCTGGGTGACAATTCTAGTTGTATTAGGGCTTCTCTGTAGTCACAAGAATTAATTCTCCTACCCCTGACTCACCAATATCCTTAGGTTACCATACCTACCACTCAGGAGTCAGAGGGCAAGGAAGCCTGGCAGCTGTGATCCATTGCTAAGGACAAGGCCGTTGACAGAGGGACTGGAAAAAAATGCAGGAGTCCTCAGTCTTTGGCAGCAACTCCTGTCAACTGTGAAGGACAAGTGTTCCTTCAAGGAAAAACTTGCAAATTCCTGAAGCAAATGGACCAACACTGATGGAGGCATATAGTATCTGAGGGAGTTAGCCATGGTGGAAGTGATCTGGAACAATCTGGACCATATCCAGTGCATGCAGCCTCGCTAACCCTCCCCTTAGTTTTATTACTGAGCATGACACCACATGGAATATCCCTTGGGGTCAGCTGGGATCAGCTGTCCTGGCTGTGTCCCCTCCCAACTCCCTGTGCACTCCCAGTCTCCTTGCTGGTGGGGTGGTGTGAGAGGCAGAAAAGGCCTTGACACTGTTAAGTGTCAGGAAAGCATCCCTGTTTTAACAATGCTGTTTCCAGCACAAATCCCAAACATAGCCCTTACCAGCTACTGTGAAGAAAGTTAACTCCACCCCAGCCAAAACCAGCACACTGTATTACACTGGAACAGAAAATGCTGCAAATGTTTCCATGTTGCTTTTTTTTTGAAAGGAGTATCTGGAATGATTTTGAGTAACTTTTCTTTGCAAATTACTGCCTTTCTCTATTACTATTTTTAAGCCAATTTCATGCATACAGGAATAAACTGGACCAGTTTCAAATATATTTAAACAAGACTGATGAAGGCAAAAGCAGGGGTGTCTACCTTTCTCAAGACGACTGCCAGGTGCTGAATGGGTTGTTTTAGGAATCAGTGAGAAAGCTCCTTGGTTTCTTTTGTTTCCCCAGCTATAAGGAAAATGCTCTAAGGTTATCCAAGATACACCATGACCAGCCAGTTAAGCCTCTGGACAGAGCTGTCTTCTGGATTGAATTTGTCATGCGTCACAAAGGAGCAAAGCACTTGAGACCAGCTGCTCACAATCTCACCTGGTACCAGTACCACTGCCTTTTTTTTTTCCTGTGCAGCCACTGTTGTCTTCATTCTTGTCAAGTGCTGCTTATGTTGCTGTAGAAGATGTGGCAGGATTGCAAAGAAGAAGAAAGAATAGACATCCTGTTCCCATCAGCACTTTTTCTTCTCCTAGGCTGATTCAGCATTTATGTACATTCTTTGGTGACTAAAATTATTAGGATATGCTTTAAGCTGGGCATATCATGAAGCACCCTACTGAACTGGGTCACACTTCAAAAACATTGTGGGGCAGAGCTGCTTGCTTAGCCAGCAAATTCCTTCTGGGCTAAATGAGATCGAATCACAGTTGCTTTATCCCTTGGGACTGTGTTAGCTGATCACACATGGTCCCTAGCATGGTAATTCCTGCTCTAACTTTTCAAATTAATTTTGGTGTATTTCATAAATTTAGCCTTCCCCTGTGTGGCACTATGGGCCTGCAACTAGTCACCTTAACTCTGTCCTCTCCTTTAATGGCACCCAGACATTACGATTCACAACCAAAATGCCTGTCCTGTCAGAATAGCTCTCTCCAGACTCGACAGTGAAGTTAAGCTTACAGGCTTCTAAAACACACCTGTCTGAAGGGCAACTGCCTTGAAAACTGGGAGCTGCAAGTGGCAAATGCATTGACTACTTGGGGGCTGAGGGGAGACTAGAGTCTTATGGTTCCCAGAAAATGTGTCTCTTTTCCATTCAGCTTGGAGTCCTGCTGCACAGGCCATCATTCTAACCACAACACTACAGAGGTGTGAAAACTACCTGTCAGGAACTTCCCCATCTTAACCCACAAGTGCCTCTGAGCCATGCTAACTGATAAATGCATGAAAACCTCTAGAGAGGGAACTTGAAAAGAAATAACATTCCATGTGGGAAAAGTGCAATAGTCATTTTCCTTGCCTGAACAGCTGGAGGGAAAATAATGCTGCTCTTGGGTCAGGTGAGAGTACTAGTAAATGCAGTACTTCAGTTGTTAAAGGCGTCTACTAAAATGCTGCTAGTTCAGGCCTCCAGTTCTAGGTAAGGTTATTTCACTTGCTGTGCCAGCTTACTTAAGAAAGAAGCTACTTCAATTTTAACTGATACTTGCTGTGTTCTGGATGCTTCAGAATTGTTTTCAAACAGAACAGGCTGAGAAAACATGATTCTTTGTTTACAAAATAAAATTCCTTACACCACAGTAACTTTGTTATTAGCATTGTCTTGTTTCAATGTCTGCTGAAACCTCTTCATACTATGGTTATGTACAAAAGCTCAAGTGAGTTGCTTCCAAACTAAACAGGGGTTAGAACAAGACTGCTACAGCTCATGGCAATTTCTGTTCCTCTGGACACAGTGGGATCATATGCAGGAATATGCATATTGAAATAAGCATAGTGAACAGAAAGTGGATCAGTATGACATTGAGGTGCTAGATATGAAAGGGTTTGGTGTAAGCATTCTGAGAGGTGGGACACAGCTCCACCAAGCTCCATCACTAACAGCCCCATCATCCAGTTGCTGGGATGTCAGTTCAGGAGCCAAAGCCAGCAAGCCTCCTAGTATACTGCACAGGGATTGGTCAGACAGGGTTAACAAATGACACTGGAAACACCATAGCTGGGCAAAGTTGGACAGAGAAAGTGTTCTGCAGTCACTTTAAGGAGGTGCTCCTTTCCTGTAACTTCCTCAGAGAAGTTTGGCTTATCTAGTATTGAATTAAAAAAGTAAAAAAGAAAATGAACCAAAAACCCCTCTTCTTTCGAGAATCTGCATACAAAGCAGAGAAAGATATCACAGGATTTTAGGGGTTGGAATGGACCTTAGATACCATCTAGTCCCACACCCCCAGCCATGGACAGGAGCCCCTCCCCACCAGACCAAGTTGCTCAAGGCCTCATTGAGCCTTATCCATATCAGAGTATGTAGGTGGTCTGGGATGTGTTTCTCCAACCAGACACAGTATGTATACTGAATCTGACAGACTGGTCTAATCCCACAGCTGGCAGGCACACCTCTCTGTGCACAATAATCTGTTTTGGGGAACCCGAACATATGCACTGCTTAAAGAATCCCAACACACCTGCATATTTGAGGTCTAACTTGTTGCTTAACACTTGTAGATGTTTACTGTAATTGTAGACTAAAATATACAGAGCCCAAATCATTGCCAGTTCTAAATAAGCACGTGTTTCCACAACTGCCACACTGTGGCCAATCCTATGCTGCCATTTATAAGAACAGTTACAGCACTCGGCACAGTGGGGCTGGAGGTCGTTAAAGCACATGCTACGCTTTGGCCTTGTCACATGAAAGAACACAGAACAAAGTTTATGAAGAAGTCCATCGAGGCAGTGCTACTCTTAGTTTTGAAAAATAAGAAATTGCTGAAGAAACCAAACAACTTTCACTACAAGCTTTACTTTTCATTTCGCCCCTCTCCAGTTTTACTGCTATCATTTAGGTTAATGTATTTCCTATTTAAGAGAAGTAACGAGCAACGCAACAACAAAGAACACATGGGGAGGGTCTGGATCTTGCAGGATTAACACATCCCTGAGAGACAGGTATGATTGTGGCTGAAGCTCAATAACTTCAAGATCATACGATTAAGCCGAACATGTAAGGGCCTTAATAACTCCGATGAGCTGCAGGGATTCTAAGTTGACAACTACACTGCAGTAACAAAAAAGCAATTACTTTTTATTTCAGCAGTCCTTTCCATAAATTCAGGCGTCAGAGCAATTTCACCTATCACAAGAACATTTAAACTATTTTTGAACACAAATGTTTTCCTAGAGCTGCCAGAATCTATCAAAACTGGCAAACTCAGAAGTACAAGAAACCCAATGTGGAGTTTTAAACATTTCAATAGTTACTGATTTATTTTTATAAAAAAAATGGTAGCAATGTAGAATACAGCAATATTTTCTGGTTCCACACACGCAGGTTGTGAACATTCCAAGCAATGCATACATTTCAGAAGGAGACTAGACATGAGAATTGACCAAAATGTTACTGAACACAGGGAAGATCTTTAAAAAAGGCTAAAAATTAGATATCAATAGTGTCTTCTTAATATTGCTTTCATTACTGAAGACTGAAAAAAAAAACCACTTGACTTTACAGACAGGGTTAAAAATGGGAGGAAAAGGAAAAAAAAAAGGCTGCTACAACACTGCCATACAGTCAAAAAAAAAATCATACTTCAATATTTGCATACTTGATAGCAGCATTCTCCCATCAAACCATACGCAACTAGAGGACGAAAACATCAAAGCAAAAAAAAAAAAAAGAAAAAAAAAAGGCTGTTATCCATCAGTATTCAAAAACCTAGAATGAAATCACTAAGTAGATGAACACTTACTGAGAATTCTTCAATATCTACATTCTTAGCTGTTTCCCACTCTGTTTCAACAGAAACGTGAAGCTGAGTGTCAGCTTTGCGTACTTTATTTTTGGCCTATTTGAGTTTTTCCAGTTCACAGTTCACTGCATGCTTGGAATAGAGAGGGTCGTTATAAATCCTTCTACACAATGAACTTTTAAGTAGACAGCTGAAAATAAAATGTACTACTTGTAAACACACAAAAAAATACAAGCTTTTTTTGTTTCAAGTGAGCACTGGGTCCAGATGGATTATCTTCGGTATCTACCTCTTTCACCTCTGTCTCTGTCCCGGTCACAAATCCTCTCTCTCTCCCTCTCCCGGTCGCGGCCTCTGTCACGTTCTCTGTCTCTTCTGTTGTCTCTGGGCCGGTCCCGCTCCCGCTCCCGCTCCCTCTCCCGGGGCCTGCTTCTCCGACCGCTGACAACCGCTTGCGTGCGGCGAAGAAAGTCATCTACTCTCATGTCGTAGTCATGCTGCAATGAAAGGACAGCTCTGTCAGCTCTGTTTTTTTTCCTTCCCAGATCAAAATTCCCTCCCTTATCCACAGGGCTGGCTGTACCTTTTCAGAGAGCCTGGTATTAAAAAAACCCCAAGTGTCCAGCATCCATGTACAGAAGCTGGAGCTCAGACACCAGTGTGCTGGTTTCAGCCAGAATGGAGTTAATTTCTTATTTTTTTTCCTCCCAGAAAGACCTGAAAGCAAAGCAGCCTTCAAAGCCAGCTAACAGAAATCTGACATTTTGCCCTGTTTTCTGATGTGCCTGTAAAAAGCTATGAAACACAAACTTCTACCAATGAAGTGATTTGTTGCGCATCGGCACAAGCAACATTACAGGCATGTCCTTACTCAAACTGGGCTTCAGCATGAAACGTTTCAGAGCTAGACAGCTGGAAGCTAATTTAAGTACACACCTCAGTTGAAGAGTCTGAGGACTTTACACTTCTACCTCACCTGGGAGAGAAACGCTTTTCAAAGATGCTGGCAGTGTTAAGTCAATCTAAATAACTGACTTTCCCAAGGAACACTCATACAGGTCATAAAAATGCAGTTTGTAAGAGCCAGCGAATCTCAGGCTAGGCTACCTCTGTACCCCAGACTCCTACTCTGGCCTGCAGCCTTGCATCCCCCTCTGTCTCTGTGGACACTTACTACTCGTTTGTCTCTGTATCTTGCTTCATGCGGTACAGGATGATGCCCTGAGTATGGAGGGTGAGCTTGAGGTGGAGGTGCATGGTGCTGATAGTAAGGGTGGTGTGGTGGCTGCTCCATACCTGGATATGGTGGCTAAAAGAAAGTTACAGGAAGTTTGTTGAGTGTTTCGAACCAAAGAAATGCACACAAAGCTGAGTGCTGGGAATTAAGGGCAGAGGTTGCTTTCATTCAGATGGAAAACACAGTATCTAAGTACATCTGATCACAGCCTCCTAACTGAATGGCAGACTCCTTTCCATAAAGTCAGCATGCCTGACTACCTCTCTACCATCGCATTTAGAAGCCTGGCTAACACCCTCCCCAAAACCAAACACGCCTTCCTTCCTAATCTGCCTCAATGTGATATTGTATATAAAACTTCTGCTACTTAAATGTGGTGGTTTGGGGTTTTCTTAAAAATCTAGGCATATGGAATGTGAATGCTGTCCAAACCAGCAAACTCCTAGAGAAATGAGTTTTTTCAATGTCATTCCTTATGAATTTGTTTCTATTTTTAATGAAAAAGTTACTTTGCAAGACAAATTATTTAACTAAAGGCTAGCAGATTTT